AACTTTATATCCATTTAAGTCTATATTAATTCAATCCTGCAGCTATAGCGCAGGACGGGTACAAAAATTTACTTTTAATTTTTAGCCTCTTATGTTTCTTTATGTATTTATATATGTAAATGTATTTATGTATATAAATACATATTAATATATATATATATATAATTAAAAGCATAAACATCTTAACCGGAAAATAAGAACAACATAAGTCACTTTTAATGCCAAAAATTTACATTTTATCAAAATATAAGAATAAAAGTGTGGGTGTTTATACACACACGGTACGCACACAAATATAGAGAGAGAAGTAAGGAATTTAGAACCTAATTTACAAAGCCATGAAAGAAATGAAATTAAAAACCAGTAAAATCCCCGAATTTCCCAATAAAAATATAAGCAACTTCAACTAATTATTTTGAAACCATAATAATTATTGAATTTTATTTATTGTGAAATTTTGGGATTTTACTGATTTCGAATTTCATTTCTTTCATGTCTTTATGAATTATGTTCCAAATTTCTTACCATTTTGTCTGTAATTAGTTAATTTTTCAGCAGCATATTGCGCGAAAATAATATTGGGTTATTCTGATTCTAAAAAATTTTGTGATACTGTGTTATATTATATATATATCTTCAAAGAACTGATTAAGAAGAAGGTAAGAATTATGTGCCAAAAAGGGCTTAAATCTTGCGCCCTTTTTGGCACATAATTCTTACCTTCTAGGTATTATCTAGAAATATAGATTTATTAATAAGAAAAATAAATTAATTTCTGGTCTTTTGTAATCTATATTATTTGTAGATTTGAAATCTAATACAATTTTATGTAGTCTTTTTCATATTTTTAGCTTATTAAATTACTTCTAATTATAATCTTTTGCCACTTTTATTTTGCATTTACCATGTTTTTGCTGCTTTTGGTTGTGTAATTCATAACTTTTACAATTGATGAAGCGGTTATATCGGGGGAATGTCCCCCTTTTATGCAAGAATGTTCCCTTCTGATATTTTGTAGCATCATATTTCAGCTTTTCTATGGATCTGATTGGTTATGTGCATAACTAATAGTTAATTTTCTTAACTTTATTATTACTTTTTATTATTTTTAGCTTGTTTTATAGATCTGATTGACCATGTCCTTAAGCTTTCATTTCGTTGTTTGGGTCTAATTGATCAAATGCTCAATTACTGATTTCTTTAATAACGTTTTAATTCATTTTGACTTAAGTTTCTTACAAATGGAGGGAACGAAATATAATCGCTTAAATCAATTATTGTTATTTGAACGAAAACAGCTTTATTCCCCTTAATGTTAATCAGATTCCGTTCAATGATAAAAACTTAATTTTATCGCTTTATACAGTTTAATTTAATTTTTACATTTTGACATATTCCTTTATTAGTGAATTTGGCAAATATAAAAAAATGTAATTTGCTAACATTTAAGATTACAGTTTTTTCTCCTTTCTTGGGGAGAATTTTCTATTTTTCTTCTTAATGCATATATATATATATATCGCTCTTACCCGACTTGGTCAGCTCTATGTTTTTATTCTTATATGTTGGTAAATTGTGCATTTTTTTCTTTAACAGTGATTGAATTACGTTCCGGTTATTTTTTTTTCTTTAGTTAATCTGCATGACAAAGTTATAGAATTATCAAAAATTTAAAACTTTAAGTGGCGTTAGACCTAACGAGGCCACCATTTGTTTACATTTGAAACTCTTAATAGAATAGCTAATTACGTTATATGGTTCACAAAATTCAGCGTCTTTTTACCCAATGGGCCCAAAAGTTAACTTTCAATTTTGTGCACCAAAAATTTTGTCTCTCTCTCTCTTGGCCGATTGCTTGTTTTTGAATTCAAACTCTAATTTTAATTTCAAAATTTTTTAACTTATTTAGTGCTTTAAGATTTCTCTATTTATAAAATTTTAATGAAGATGTTTTGATCTTTTAGGTATTTTTACCTTGCCACGAAGTGAGAACGGAATTGATTGAGAAATATATCTCGAATGAAATTTGAGAAAATAAGTTTAAATGAAGTGCAGCAAAAAAAGTGTATACTTTAATAGGCTGTACAAGGTAGTCATGTGGTGTCCACATCATATTTTTTCTATATGGGATAAAGAAAAATTTAGTAAAGAAAGAAAGAAAAAAATTTGCCATTATATTTTCTCTAGTTTTGCCCTACTTGGAAAGTTTTCGTAATTTCTTTAGTTTAGGTTAGATTTAGTTATTAAGTGGTTAATTCAATATATCAGAATTATTTGAAATAAATATTATAGGGTTTAAATGCTATAAATTAAAATAACTATTAGTAAAAATGTGTGAAACATTCTTACTATTAGTAAAACTAATGTTTAATTTTTTTTTTTTTTTGTAATAGTTATTTTAATTTAATAACCCTTTCCGTCTTCTTTTTTTCCCCTCGCGTTTCCTAGCCAGTATGTAAATTAGTTAAGATGAACGAGTGCATTTAATTTGACGTAGCGAAAAGTTTATTCAGAGTGTGGTTTCGTTATTCTGATTGCACGTTGTTATTTTCTACCAGTTTGAACATCGGCTTCGTATTCTGGTCGTCGAATTATTATCCTGACAGTGTAGGTTCTGAGTCATCCTGTTAGATTAAACGTAACTGTATAGTCTTCCACTTCTTGTTACTTTAGATTTAGGGTTATGTTATCTTTAAGTTTCTTCCCACGAGTGGTTGGTGAGTGTAACTCCGTGCCGTCTGTAAAATATTGTGTTCAACAAAAGCACCCTTTCCTTGTTATGTTTATCTTCCAGGCTTTGCGCGAAATCGCAAAGATTAACTTAAGTAGATCTGGTTACATTTCATGATAGCGAAAAAGACTAGATCCAACAGTGTCAAATTTAATATTTAATTATCAATACATTTGAGTTACAAAAGTATAACAGCCAAAAATTTCTTGTACATAGCAGGCCTTTGATCTCCGACAAAAAAAATAAATGCAAATTGGAACTTTTTCCTACGAGTCATTATTATTACTTTTTATGTGTTTTTTGACAAATATTCGGTAAACACTTTTTGGGGATTAAAAGAGGGAAAATCGTTTTTTATTTTGGTTAAAAATTAAATTTTAAAAAAATAAAAATTCGACCTGTTATGTACTTTCAGGTGGCACTTAGTGGTGGCATGCAACTGGAGTTTGAGACAACTGCAATAGAGATATTTGTGATACATTGTAATGTCTCCTAAGCATATTAAAGCACGTACCCAGGAAAATTTGACAAATTCACGGATAAACTTCAGAAAAAAAAATTAAGAGCTATTTTTATTGGCATGTTTCATAATAACCAGATATATTTTCTCATTTGCTCTACGATGCAGTTATACACTGACTACCAATATGTATTTGGACACCTATCCAAATGACGATATGTGCGGTCCTAAGGTACATCACGGACTCCGCCGGTATATATCGTGTAGAAAACAGCATCGGCTTTAGTCGCATGCAAGATGCCTCGCAGTTCGGAGCTCTCTGATTTCGAGAAAGGTATAATTATCGGGTATCACAAATGTGGCCCATCCTTAAGGGACATATCTAGCGATCTGAAGTACCCAAAATCGACAGTGGCTTATGTGATTAAGAAGTGGAAGAGGAGCGGTGATTGTCGGAATGTGCCCCGAGTCGGCAGACCAACGAAACTGGGAGATAGAGACCAACGAGTGCTGTCCAGAGAAAGTCGGAAAAACCGCACCCAACCGATGGCCCTCATCCACGAGGAGTATCAACAGGCATCCGGGGATTGTTTCAATGAATACCATCGTAAAAAGCATCTGCTTGGTTTTATGGTCGTGCTGCTGCCCATAAGCCTTTGATCACAAAGTCCACCCGCGTTGCTCGGTTAATGGGGTGCAAAGCACATCGAAATTGGACCGTAGATCAGTGGAAACGGGTTCTTTGGAGTGACGAATCAAGGTTCACCCTTTACCGTTCGGATTGCAGGGTCTGGGTCTGACGTCTACCTGGAGAACGTCTCCTGCCGGAATGCATTTTGCCAACAGTCAAGTTCGGCGGAGGTGAAAGTATGGTCTGGGGGTGTTTTTCCTGGTATGGGCTGGGATCCTTGGTCCGCATTCATGGTAAGCTCAACTCCGATGCCTACTGCACTATTTTGGATGACAATGTGCTTCTACGTTGTGGCAGTTTTACGGGTTGGACCCTGTTACTTTCAGGACGACAATGCCAGTTGTCATGTTTCGACGTTAACAAGGTTGGTATGTGCCAAGAGTTCATCGAATGGACTGGCCTGCTCAGAGTCCAGACCTAAACCCTATCGAGAACCTCTGGACGAGTTCATCGCCGATTCAGGGTGCACTATCTGTGCAAAATCGGTGAAGGAACTTCTATGTCTTCTCCAAGGCGAGTGGAAGAAAATACCACTAGCTGTCATACAAAGACTTGTGGAAAGTATGCCCGGAGGGTCCACGCTGTAATTACCTCTCGTGGAGGCTCTACCAACTATTGGTTTTGAATATAGTTTTTCTTTTCTATCCCAGGGGTCCAAATACTTATTGGTAGTCAGTGTATAATACTTGTTTGTTTTCTATCTGTTTAAGCTGTCACTTTTATTATTAGCTTCAAAACGTAATTTAAGGATTTAAGGCTTCCTCACAAATTTCCTCAGAAAATATATTAATCATAAAGTGATATGAATAATTAACGAGTGCAATGTAACTGCAAATATATTTTACGTATGTTGTCATGATGCTTTTGTTTTAAGTTCTAAATAATTTTCTCAGGTTGTCTGCTACAAAACGTATACTTAACTATCATAAAATAACCAAGCACAAAATTTCGTTAAAAATGGTAGATAACAATAAATAAAAAAAAGTGTAATTTAAATGTAAATTTGGAAAACATTCGTTTTTTTTACACCACTCCATGTAAATTATTTTATTTTACTGCCGAAAATTAAAACGTTTATGTCTTTTAAAAAAGGAATGATGAATAAATCTGAATTTTACCTGCTTCAAGGCACTCAGGTGTAGAGCATTGATCATTTCCTGAACAGCCTATGGTTTCTAGTTGGTTAATAGCTGCAATGGAATCTGCAAGAGAATATTCACCGAAGTCCAATTACGTGATAAAGCATATATATGTAGATAATATTAGCAATAAAACAGCTTAGATGCGTGATATAACTGCAATTTCTCTGTATTAAGCAATGAAGGAAAATTTTAATTCAGCAGGGTCCTGCAAGCTTACCTTATTTTTGCTTTGAGGAGCATAACAATTTGCACTTGAGAAGCATAACTCGATCCACAATAAATTTGCAGTGTTAGTGGTTATTATTTACAGTAGACGCTGCTTAATGTGACTTCAGTAAATGTTATTATTTGTATATTCTAATCGAATTGCCGAAGTCCCACCCGTTTGCATACGAAAACATGGAAAATGCATCAATTGTTAAATATTATAGAATAATTTTTTTAAATGAAATAAAGTGGCCAAATATGGTCAAAATAGATTAGAAAAGGGTTTATTGACAGAGAAATATCGCCAATTAAAGGATTAAGTCACCAAACAGCTTGCTAAAAATTTATAGATGAAGCTTAAAAAGTATTTCTGTAAAATAATTATCGAAATATCCACATTAACTAGAATCACAGCTCACGTTGTTATAGGTCCGTATAAGTGAATCTATGTTTTCTCATTGGATAAATGCCTAAATAATATAACGTAAGTACACGGAAATGTCACTTTAAAGGAAAAAAAGTGACATTTTATTCTAGCAAAGCTTCATGCGTTTAGAAGAATTTTTTTCTTAAAGTAGCACATGAAACATTACGAAATTAATAATTATACACACACATTAAATAATTTCTCATAATTAATTATACTTTCATCTGAAATCCGATAACGAAATCAATTTTCGTTTACGCAAACCCCAGTAATAAACACAATTTTTATTTATATTGATTTCGAAATTTAAGGACATTCCTTTATTTATTTTTACAGTAGAAAAAGACTGCACTTACAAGAGCCTATTTTCGTGGAAAAAGTACCTTTAATCGTAAGAGATATGTTAGTAATGTCTACCCTTTCACATAAGCATGAAAATCACAGTTTTTATTTACTTCCATGTTATAAACGGAATATTATTCTTTTCGTTTATTACGTTAATCAATCATTTACGTAGTAAACGGAAAAAATTGGTCTACTGATATTGTTTTTTCATGAATGTTCATATTCATCATATTTGTCAATTATTGTTCAAATAACTCAGGTTTTACACATTTATCTAAATTATAGTAATTTGTGCTTACGTATTATCCAAACCACCTTAGAAGTCACCTCAGAAGTCACCAAATTAGCATAGCATGCCAACTTCTTACCACCATTTTGCGCATAAACACATTTCAGGCAACCGTACTGATAACAAACCTTTCGGTTCGCGTTGTTTTATACTCCAAGTTCCAACAGTTTTATAAACAAATGGTGACATTTTTCCCCTTAAACTGACTATTAAATGTTTGTTTGTGGAACTTGGTAGCAATGGAAGGAAACTAGGCTAAAATTTCTATAGAAATACTGTATTTTGCTTCAAAATCGCTAAAAGGAACAACGATAAGATGCGTAGGACAGATAGCGTGTTAGTAATGGAGAAGTTGTGAGCGATGCTGGATTTGAGTAAGTGTCTGTTTTTTTCAAGAGTTAGAAAAACGGAGAAAAAAATTTACAGAACTATTTCACGGAAAATGTGTTTTATTTATTTATTTACTTTTGTGTCGTATAATTCGTATTTAATAACTAAAATCTGTGTGTTTTCGTTTGCTGTGTTTATAGTATTTGCCAACTTACGATAAATATAGATAATTTGGAAATTTTCTTTATAAAGTCGCAAAAAATCACCAACTTGCAATCAATAAGTAATTTTTATCATTTCTTTTGTAACGAATTGGAGGAAATGCGTTTTTTCGATATCCGCTGTTGTCGAAAATTGCACAAAGCCTCGCAATTCTCTGATTTTTGTTTTTTTTTTTTTTTTTTTTTTTTTTTTTTTTTTTTTTAAGAGGAAACAGATTACTGTGTACTTCGGAGAAGAACAGAACAAAAAAATTACAGAAAGAGTCGAAGGAGAATGTGTTTCTTTTTTTAATGTGTCACGTAATCTTATTTAATAATTAAAATTTTTATTTTAAATTGCTAAAGCAGGTTTTCTTTTCATATGTTGATCATGTTTACCGACTTGCGATAAATATCTATAGAATTGGAAACTTGCACCCAATAAGTAACAATGAGCAACTTTTGCCTTTTCATTTTTAAAAAATTGCCGAACTGCGCCAAAATGGTTGCGTTAATACGCAAATGCCTATATATGTTATCTATGTTCAGTTTATACAATTTTCCAAAATAATGCATTGATATGTCCTACAAATGCTTTTTAAATACTTTTGGTGAATAAATTGCGTCTTTCTTTCTATTTTACTATCATACAATGCAGTTCATTTATGAATTTCTTTACCTATTATACTAAACCGTTAATTGATATTTTTGCATTTGAAAACATACAGACTCCGCAGATGTACAACATGAAGCTTGTAGAAGTAAGTTAACTAAAACATTAAAAGCTGCATGCATAAATAAAACGAAATAAAGCAGAGAACAGCGGTCTGGACTTCACGAAAACAGATAATTTCACTGGTTACGTCACTCTGAACATTTTCAAATCGTTGTGCAAGCATAATCTAGGACCATCAAATATTCCACATCCTGAGATACCTTTTTTAAAATTCACATAAATTGTTGGATCTTAGATTAAAACGAAACAGGTAACTTGCAAATTTACCGTGACCAGATAAAAACTGAGTAGCTTTAAAATTAATAGAGAGGAAAGATTCGGAATGCAGTCTATGGTAAATAAAAGGAAAGGACTTTTTGGAAACCTGAGCATTACAAAATGAAATATGTTCCTCATTCCACTCAGCTAAAACCTTCTTGTAATGAAAGGACTTCCAATAGCTCTTTGGAATGTTAATGTTGATATCAATGGGTAAATTTAAGGCATCTTCAGCTAAGAAATCAGCTCTTTCATTTCCATAGAAAATGTGATGAGCACTCACATAAGCAAAGCGGATATTAGTTCCTCTATTTCTAGACTAACTGACAGTTAATAAGGTTTCTATAACTAATTTGTCACAGCTGGTAATACTGTTCGAAAGGTGAAGAGAAGATAGAAAATCAGAACAAATAAGGTACCTTGAGGATGCTGTCCCATTATCCTTGATCCATTTGACGGCAAGATAAGTACACTGAAGTTATGCTTGAAACACCGTGCATTCATTCCGCATACGGTGTCTAAAATAACAAACCTTGGAATGGCCTTCAAAAAGAGAAAATGCAAGGCCAACATTGTTGTTCATCTTTCTGCCATCTGTAAAGAAAACCATATGAAAACTCATTTCAGTAGTTTCTTTATAATCGGTCCCGGTCAGTAGTCATCCTTAGCAGTGTAAAAGTTAAAAAAAAAAGTCTTTTTTAATCGCAGAAATATATGGGCTCTAAAGTAGCTGGATGAGGAAGATCAAGGAAGGGGACAATTTCATTTATGCAGTCCTCCAAAGTATCAGTTGCCAGTGCCAATACTATTCTTATATTCAATTTCAAAATCAAGAGACGGAACTCCTGCAAGAGCAAAAGTAACTTCATAGCTTAAGGTTCTATAACCACTAATAATATAAAAAATAATTCTCCGTTGAATCTTTCTCAAATTTCTTTTGTTAATCTTCTTTGCAAGAACATGTCCCCAAGCACGACAGCCGTACGAAATGAAAGGTACAATACACTGCTTATACATCAGTTTCTTAACATCGTAGCTAACTCCAAAAGCATTGTAGGAGATTCGGCGAAAGCCATTAATAATTTTTTTACATTTAGCAGAAAGGAATTAGTGTACTTTTTCCATGTTAAGGTCAAGAATGACACTAAGATACTTAACATTTTCTACAAATTCCAATGGAGAATCTTCGAGTATCAAAGGAGCAATATTTCGTTCATCAAACTTTCTGGGAACAATCTTAGCTTTACTTTTTGAGGGACTGAAAATGAGTTTATGAGAAATCGCTCAGTTGGTGACAAAATCTAGCACTTCTTGTACTCTTAAAAGACTGTTATTTAAAGTCTTTCCTCGGAAAATTAAAAGTAAGTCGTCTGCAAACGCAATTTTTAAACAACCGTCGAGATGACTTAAAAGATCTTTTATTATTAGTTCCAAAGAGTAGGTCGGAACACAGGGCCCTGAGCACAGCCTTTTTCTAGATAATAAACCTTAGTTTCGGTGCTAAGCTGAAGCTCAGCGGTCCTTCGGTTCAAGAAGCTTAAGCAGGTTAGAGATATTATGTGGTATACCAGCATCTTTTAGAATTTTTAAGATAAATGATCACAAAGCATTATTAAAAGCCCCTTTGAAATTCAAGAAAGTAAGAGCTGTTGTAAACTTCATTTTCTTTCCATACTGCAAGATATTACAAAGACGAATAATGGCATCATCATCAGACTTCCGAGGAGTAAATCCGAACTGAGGATCATTACAAACACATTTCTGTCTCAAATACCAATTTATTTTGTTAATGAAGAGAGTTTCAAGACATGTTCCCAAAGTAGGCAAAAGACTAATGCATCTAATATTATCAAGATAGGGTTCTTGTATCTAAAGTTTGGAATCAAACAACCGAGCGCTCTTCCATTGTGCTGGAAAATTCCTAATTGTAAACAGGTTGAAACGTATGTGCAAAAAAGTGCTATCCACCGCATGAAAGTGCTATACAATTTCATTGGAAAGAGAGACAACAATCGTATCACTCAAACTCGAAGTAACACTGCCATCCAGGAGTTTAATTCCCGAAATCTCAATCCTTTTCGCAAAATTTGTCTTGACCCCATACTTATATATATATATTTCCAGACATTGTGAACATTAACAGTTGAGAGAAATTTTCTCCACGAATCAGGCTTGGCATTAGCTAATTTAGCCTTCCAATTATCTCGGAAGTCAAATTATTTAATTTTATATATATCTTTAAGAACACTGTTTCTCTCTGGAATCAGC